GTGCAGTGAGCCAAGATCATACCACTGCACTCCGGCCTTGCCACGGAGCAAGACTCCGTCACACACACAAAAAAAAAAAAAAAAGAAGAAAGAAAAAAATACTGCCTCCAGGGTTGTAGACGAGCTGTACCTTTTCCCCTGGCCTTTTTTTTAACCACTCTCTATTCACTGCTTTCAAGCCAGGGTCTCTCCGTTCTGTCAATGTGCCAAGCTCTTTCTTGCCTCTCTTCCCTTCCACGCCGGACCCCTTTCCCCTCCCACTTCACTCATCTGTCAAATCTCCCGTCATTTTTTTCACAGCACTTCATTTGTAACACGTACTTGGGATTTCTAGTACCATAAAAGTCGGGGCTGTCTTGTCTACTGCTGTATCTACAGCACCTAAGAATGCACAGCTAACATCTATTACATACATGAAGCTAGTACCATGTTCTAATCTAAAATGGTTCCCAAACCAAGATTATTATTTCGGGGTAGAAAATTCAACCTCAGTTATTAAGACAGAAAATAAAGAACTTGAGTAGAAATATGAAGAAACAGTCCAGCATAGAGACATCTGACTGGCTAACTACTGGCATAAGCATTTTGTTACTACTCAGTGTGGATAAGCCTAAGAGACATTAATTACAAAGCGATAGCAAGAACAACTTATATTTCAAAAAACCTCAATTTAAACTTTCAGCTCTAAACTTAAATTTGTTAAATGGGATCATTTCAAAATTTGGAAGTGCCAGGAATCCTTTCTGAGGATGATTATGAGTCAGATTAAGCATTTGCGTTTGACACCATTGTTATAAAATGGTTTCAAAAGGTACAGCATCTCTGACCTTGGCAACACATCTGTTTCTGAACTCCATGTTTCAAGTTCAAGCACAGGATGACTGGCCTCAAAACCCACACCTACCAAATCCCAGTTTATCTTGATTATTGGCCACTGCGTGTATAAGTCCAATTGTGCCACAGGAGTTCCCAATGGTCTGCTTCATGAAATATACTTTAGGACTAACTTCTTGTCCCTTCAGCTCTTCAATCTGTTTTTTCCTGAAGTTCTCGTGCTGTAAATGTAAAAAGCATTTTGACATCTCAGAATGAAAATGCAAAGAACAGATGGCAGCACAGTGAGTTCTACCACCTAAATGGAAACACCAGTGGGATGTGTGACCGGGAGCCTTGGTTCTAGATGCTGGCTGACTCCCAGAGAAGGGCCCGTCTGTCTGCCTCCCACACCCACGCCAGCCAGTGGGGCTCTGAGAGGCTCGGAGACTCCACCCCAGTGCTGCAGTGCAGTGACTGCATTGGATGCTGCCCAAGGCTCTGTCTAGACACCACTGCAACCTTTCAGCCCGAAATAGTGTCATGAAGTCTGAAAACAAAGAAACTGGTTCATTATTTTCTAACACTTAACAACTGTATTTCACATAGGCATCCTAATCAAGTTTCAGTCAACTGAATACCCAACAAGAGCACCAACTGGTTTACATTTCATTATTCTTTAAAATTCTACTTCTATTTGGCCCAAGTATACTTCGCTTCAAAAACAAAAACAAGCCTTAACTGTTGAAAAGAGCAAGTGAAAGACATTAACCATTCCCTCTCCCTTCTTTTTAAGGAAGGAAAGACAACTGGTCCAAGGTATTGGGCTGTGATTTTACAAGAGGAAGATGTGACACTAGCTTGTTCTTGCCAGCTAAACAGTTTGCTTTGAGAACAGATTGGCAATTTGAGGAGGAGGAGGAAGACAGAAATTGGTAAATGAATGGGACTAGGAAACGGGTTTCCTGAAAGCATCTGCTAGCTTTTTGTACAGTAATTTAGTGAGCTTGTCTGGACTTTTCACTAACTAGTTTTAAAGACCTTAGAAGTTATGACTTCTTGAGCCAGGATCAGTGGCTTGTGCCTATAATCCCAGCTACTAGGGAGGCTGAGGCAGGAGGATCACTTGAGCTCAGGAGTTTGAGACCTTGTCTCTAAAAAATAAAAATAAACAAATTAGAACTTCTCAGTTAAAAAGCAGGGTGCTAACGCTATACAAACACTGATTTCCCATAACAAGCAAAACCAGACAGACCAACAGAAACATATTTCCAGTTCTAGTAGCTTTGCATTACCGCACTTGAACTGAAGTTTAAGCCTGCTAGCTGGTACTAACAGAAGAATAAGATCTCTTACCCCAGAAGAGCAACTTAAACTCCCACTAGCAGAACTTTTTCCCTTCTATCCTCAATTTAGTATTCATTGACCAGTAAGTTTTTTTTTTTCATTTTCTAGGCTAATTAGATAAAATGTTAAAATGGGGCAGGAGAATAGTTTGAACCTGGGAGGTAGAGGTTGCAGTGAGCCACAATCATACCACTGCACTCCAGCCTTGCCACAGAGCAAGACTTCATCTCTCAAAAAAAAAGAAAAAAAATACTGCCTCCTGCCTCCAAGCATCCTTTAAGGCTGCTTGAGCTCTTCCATGGAAATCATTCTGTAGTTTACTAGCACTTAACGTTTCAGAAGTGGTCCATGTAGGATGTCATAACATTCCCTTAGTCAAAAATTAAATGCCTTCGAAATTAACATCTTTAGGAGTCAACCTATAAAACCTCAACTTTTCTTTAAATTGGTTTCAGTGTTTTGTCCAGTAGGTATTCTGTGTAGCAGAATAGGTGCTCGATAAATCAGATAGGTTGAATTGAAGCTAAAGGACAAAGTATCGAGCTCTTTCAAACACAGCACAAACTAGAATCTTCTCTAGGATGCTGCAAAAGGAGAACAGTCAGCTTTTAAAGGCAAACGTGCTGCACCACTGCCTCCCAGAGGCCTTTCCTCTGAATGCTGCTCAAAACCTCCGAGTCATCATGGTTGCTCTAATAAAAAAGCTCTGTGTGATGCTCAACTCGAGACAGGAGACTGTTTTGGTTAACCAGGAAGCTAATTTGACTTCCAACAGTTTGACAGCTCCCTTTTCGCCCAAGTAAAATACTTTAGCAATAAAAATATGTTTGTGAGATCATCTTAGCTGTAATAAGTGTTTTTACCCATAATACTTAGCTCATTTACTAGAAGGAAGGCTTGGAACGTCCCATAGGACTTTATTATGGCTGGAGATGCTTCTAGAACATCTAGCCTTAGGACCGTGCTTCAGTTAACCTCACTCTTTAGAGTGATGCTCAAGTTCTGCTAAAGCTAATTTCAGCCACTCCCACATCAGCGGTCCAGTGACAGCAATAGGAGATAGACAATGCCATGCTAATTACTGGGATTCCACAAATCACAAGACAGCAAATATTCCAGCTATACTTAAAAAAAAAAATCTGACGCTGTCTTTGAGATACATCTATCCATGTACACGTGTAGGAGGAAAACCATTTAAAGGGAAATGAAGAGGTGCTTTCAAAACTGAGCTAATAATGCACTATTTCATTTAGCTACAAGGTCAGAGTGAAGAGGAAGGAGGTTCCCGCACAGAAACAATACACAAATGATTAAGCTTTAAGAAACACATTCAAGAGGCTAAACCGAGGTGAGAAGAATCCCCTAAAACCATCAGAAACCCAGGCAATGGAGGCGGAGAATTGGCGAATCTAAATCGCTTCCCTGCGATTTAGGCCAGCCCTTCCCCCACCGTTTTACAGCTAGGTGGGCGCCTGAGAAGCAAACAATGAGTTGACAGGTTACAGCCCTTAAAGGGAACCAGAGGCCATTCTCCGGAACCGGAGGCTCGAAAAAGCCCAAGTTCGAGGGAACTCATGAGTAGGATGAATTATTTCCCCGGATAACAGGAACGATGGAACTGAGATGCTGCCTCTCTTCCAAATTTAGGGCAATTGTGAACGTATGGGCGAGGAGGCACAGGCACCGCCGGAACAGAAGCCCAGGAAATAGGTACCACGAAAATGCAGGCTCCTCCCTTCCTCAGTGGCGGGCCCCGCAACACCTACAGGGAAAGGGGCGGGCAGGGGAGCTCCCGCCGCCTCAAGCTGGGGAGCGGCGTGCGCTGCCCGGGGCCAGCGCCACCCGGGGCCCACGCCCTACCTGGGCCGTAAGGGGAAACAGCAGCAGCAGCGCACAAGCAGGCGCTGGCACCGAGCCCAGAGACTCCTCCTCCAGCCCCAGCACGTCCACGAAGCGCCACTGACCGGCGACTCCCAGACGGGACAGCACCTGCAGAGAGGAGACAAGGCGGCCAGGCGCACCGGGACACGCGAGTCGCGGGCACCTGACAGGGGGCAGGGGGCGGGGCCAGCAGGCGCGCGCCCTCCGCGCCCGCACCCGAGCCTGGGAGGAGCCCCAGTCCCGCCCTGCTACCCCCACCCGGGCCGGCGCAATGACACAGCACAAAGCGCGGCCCACACGTGGCACCCGCGAAGCCCGTGCATCCTAGTCCGTGCTGCCCGCGCCACGCCCTCAAGAGCTCCGCCCGGCGCTCCCTCGCCACCGGGCGCAGCCCCTCCATTTCCCCGAGACCGGTTTCGCAGTCACCCCCTAAATGCAAGGGCGCGGGGAGGGCGCCCGGCCCACGCCCCAGCCAGGCCGCCTCCAGCGCGCTCAGCGGGCGGCTAACTCCCTGCCAGCACCAGCAGCCGGTGGGCGCCCCCGCCATGGCGTTCCCGGGGGAGGGGGCCAGAGACGGCGCGAGACGCCACTCACTTTGTTCAGCATCTGAAAGGCAAATGCAAAGAAAAAAGCAAAACCAAACCAGTCAGCAACTCGGCTCCCTCACCGTCGGCCTCGCGCTCTCCGGGCAGCCGTGCACCTGGCGCTCACCTCAGGGTTGATCTCCATCGGCTTGAGCTGCATCTTCGCGGCACACGAGGCAGGAACAACCCGGAGAAGACGAAAAACAGCTAGCGGAGCCGCCCAGGCCGCCGCTTTAAAGCGCCGGCCAGACGCACTGTGAGGCCTGCGCAGGGGGAGCAGGGGCAGAACCAAGCGAGGGGGAAACGGTCGATCGCGGCCAGATGGGTACGAACCCCCCCGTGCGCAGCGCTTAGTGGCACGACCGGGCCCCCAAACCTCGCAGTCTCACTCGCGGGTGAGATAATCTGGTGGTTGTGGAGACGGGATTTGTTGGTGGGTGTTCCTTGAGTGTATGGAGCAGTCCTTTTGATGGAGTCTTTAATTTGGGGCGAAGTTTCTGGAAGCCCATCCTTTCTACCATCCCAATAACTCTAAAGCTCGGGTTTCTGAAGGATTTAAGAAAAAGCACAAATTCAACAGGTATATATTTAATATGAAGGTAAATGTATGACCCCCCCCAAAAAAAATAGCAGTTTTGCGTTTAACCTTAGACAATTTCTCTTTCATATTAAGTCAAACCGATACCGAGGTTCTTTTTTAAGTGACTGCCTAGAATAAAACAGAATCTGGTAGATAACAGCTATTGCAGTAGGAATGCTGATGTAATGTGACTCCCGGGGAAGAAATGGTTGGTCCTGGGAAAGAAGTAGAAAGCGGGGGGATGTGAGGGTAACACAAGACACAGAAGGCAGGCGGTCGGAGACTTTAGAAAACAGATCCAGGGAAAAGATGGGTATGCTTTTGAGCGAGAGACTGTAAAAGGAAAAGCATTTTTAAAAGAAAGGGAAGCTTTGAAAAATAAAATTTCCGAGTTCACCGCAGAATACTCTCAATGAAGAAGAAAGGGAATGGCAACCAAAGAAACCACTGTTCTCTAGTGATCTCAGGTGGGGTTTTCCCACCAACACATTCAAAAGATGGAGAGAGAAAGCATATGCTAAAGAAGGAATTCTAAAAGGAACCAAAATGTGTAAGAATTGTGCCAAGAAAGCTAAGTTGCAGAATAAAGTGGGCTTGCAGAAATACTTGGGTAGCGAAGGAAGCAAGAAGGTTGAGTTTTTGTTCTGTTTTCTTTTGTTTTGTTTTTTTGAGACAAAGCCTCACTCTGTCGCCCAAGCTGGAGTGCAGTGGCACGATCTCGGCTCACTGCAACCTCCGAAAAGGTTGAGTATTAAAAAAAAAAAAAAGGCTCCGAACAAAATAATGATGATGGTAAAAGAACAGACCTTCCACTCAGGAAGTTGAGGTTAACAGATTGTAGAGGAAAGGGAGGGAATCAGCATTTTTTGAGTTATTGTTTCTGGGGATCCTTTGCATGTGCTGTCTCATATAATCCTTATAGGAACCCATGAAGAAATCCATATTAGTGCAGTTCTACAGATCAGAATCCCAAGCTTAGAGAAGTTAATTTGCTTAAGATCATAATTGAAAAGTAAAATTGAGAAGTAAACCCTGCTAAACTAGGCTCTAAGGGCGCATTCTTTATCTAAGATTCCAAAACATTCTACTTCTATTTTCTTTCCATTTTGCCATTAGCAAATACCCTTCACACACAAAATGAGAGAGAGAAAAACATTAGTAAGAAGAGCTTAATGGGTGAACCTAATGGTATATGAATTTTCCCTCAATAAGGTTGTTGAAGAAAAAAGAGGTGAAGGTCAAGACAGGTGGCTAGGTTATATTGAACGAGTTCTTGCCTTTAGACAAAGACAAATTATATTTCCAACTTCATTTATTCATTCATTCAACAAATATTGATTAAGAACCTACTATGTGCTGGGTGCTGAGCTTGAAAAACTTGGAATCAGGGATACAAAGGTGAACAAGATAAACATGGAAATTTCCCTCATGCAGTTTTTATCAATCATAAGAGTTGTATAAAAGGGAGGAGAGATCAGGAGCACCTAACCTCCTGATGGAGGGGATCAAGAAGGCGTCCTGAAGGAAGTGACATTTAAGCTAAGGGCTGATGGGCAAGCAGAAGTTAACAGTTATAAGCGATTGCCAAAATAACTAATGAAAGCAGTCATGAAATCATTATCAGAAATATTTGTTGAAGGCACTAATTCATTCTAATTCATTCACTTAACATATCTTCTATCTACCTACCTACAGCTTACTGTGTGCCAGGAAGCATCAGAGCAGTGAGTAAAACAACCCCCTACTTACAAAGAGATGCCAGAGACTGGATATGAACAAACCTGAGCGTGATCTTTAAAAAAAAAAAAAAAAAAAAAAGTAGGAGGTCATTGGGAATATACTGCCAAACTGCAGGCCAGAAGAGTTTATATCGGTTGTCAGCCAAATGTTAGGACTCATAATTTTTTACTTTTAGAAGCAATAAGATAGATACATTTAGAACAAGTTATGCCAGGCAGAACTTATCTTCTTTTCTTTGGGGGTTACTAACTGGATGGACAGGTAGAACACTGTCATTGTATTTCTTATGCTGCCAGGGTTGACATTGGTTGATACCACAGTTGAGGTGGTTTTATAGCTTATTTAATTGATTCTACCTTTAAAAAAAAGTGATAGTAGATGGAGTAACCTCAACCTGTAGCTACCTGACAATGGTTTTAACCTTGTCTGGTGCCATTTTATTACAGCAGAGAAAAAGAGAGTTCACGCATACAAGCAAGAATAAGCAATCTAAATGGCAGAATTGTTAGCCAGGTGTGGTGGTGTGTACCTGTAGTCCCAGCTACTTGGGAGGCCGAAGTGGGAGGATTGCTTGAGCCCAGGAGTTTGAGGCTACAGCGAGCAGTGATGGCATGACTGCACTCCAGCCTGGGCAATAGAGTGAGACTCCATCTCTTAAAATTAATCAATTAATTAATAATAAATGGCAGAATTTTGGGATTAAAAAATAAATTTAAAATAAAATAATGAAATTTAATAGGGAATTAGGTGATGATTACACAACCCTTTAAATATACTAAATAATTTCAAATGGGTTCATGTATCACAATAAGACTATTAAAAATATAACAGGAATATGTGTAAACTATATTATAGTACAGCTGTCAGTTACCATAATATAGTTAATGTTTATATTAACTTTTTTCTTGACATGATTGCAAAAGTATGAAATAATGTGGAAAAATATCAAGTGAAAATGAAGTTACGATAGTTTGATTATAACCATTTAAAAAGAAATACACAGAAATCAGAAGGAAAAACATTTTTTAAAAAGTCATTTAGAGATACATTAATGATTTAGACCTGGCTTTGTGAGCAGTACATGAGAAAAAGATTCAAATATTTCAGGTGTCATAATTTGACTACAAAGCTAGTGCAAACTTCATTTATACCAGGAGTGAGAGATTCAATTTCATTTTAATCATAGTAGGTTCCTGAGTCCAGCAGGGGTGAAAATGCTGTGATTGATTAGTGATATCTGCCAGGAGTATGGGAAAGGGAAGTAGTAAGGATAACCAGGTATTTGCTAACCTTTGGCTAGATTAATATAATATTCAAAATCTAATCTGCTCATGGAATTCATCAGACTATAACCAGATTATGATGCCCAGCCTGGCATATAATGAATACTCAATAAATACTTCTCAACTGAAAATTCTAACCATCACACTTTGACATATTAGACAGTTTACAGAGAGGGAGCGCCAAAATAATGAATAAAGGTGGTTGAAGAAATTGAGAAGACAGTATATGATGTGGAGAAGAGAAAGGGTTTGTGTGTGTGTTTGGGGGATGGGGCGGGGAATTACATGATACCAATGCTCAAAAATACAAAGGGGGACTGGGCATAGGGCTCATGCCTGTAATCCCAGCACTTTGGGAGGCTGGGGCAGGTGAATCACAAGGTCAGGAGTTTGAGACCAGCCTGACCAACATGATGAAACCCCATCTCTACTAAAAATACAAAAATTAGCCAGACATGGTGGCGTATCTGTAATCCCAGCTACTCAGGAGGCTGAGGCAGGAGAATCTCCTGAACCGGGGAGGCAGAGGTTGCAGTGAGCTGAGATTGTGCCAATGCACTGGAGCCTGGGAAACAGAGCAAGACTCTGTTTCATAAAAAGAAAAAATACTAAGAAGGAGAGAGTGATCTTTATGATTATTTAAGGATACAGGACAGACAGGTAGAAGTCACAGGAAAATATTCGTTTATATAAGAAAGTGTTTAATAATTGGAGTGGCTCAGCATTTATGTAAATTCTTCACATGTAATGGTGAGCATGATTTTAACAGCATAATCATAGCTAACACTTACTGACTGCTTATGGGTTCCAGGCACTACTTCTATGTGTTTTATATGTATTCATTCTTTTAATCAACGTAACAACCTATCAGGTAATTAACTATTATTATTCTCATTTAGAAATGAAGATCAGAAAGGTTAAGTTCTTTGCCTATGGCTATTTAAATCATGAGAACTGAAATTTGACCACAGACAATCTGCACTCTTGACCACTGTACTATATTATACCAGGGGTCCCCAAGCCTCCGGCTGAGGACTGGTACAGTTCTGTGACCCATTAGGAATTGGGTGGACAGCAAGAGGTGAGCAGGCCAGGCACGGTGGCTCACGCCTGTAATCCCAGCATTTTGGGAGGCTGAGGCAGGCGGATCACCAGGTCAGGAGATCGAGACCATCCTGGCCAACATGGTGAAACCCTTGTGTCTACTAAAATACAAAAATTAGCCAGGTGTGGTGGTGCACACCTGTAGTTCCAGCTACTTAGGAGGCTGAGGCAGGAGAATCTCTTGAACTCAGGAGGAGGTTGTGATGAGCTGATATCACGCCATTGCACTCCAGCCTGGTGACAGAGTGAGACTCCATCACAATAAAAAGAGGTGAATGGCGGATGAGCAAGCATTACTACTTAGCTCTGCCTCGTGTCAGATCAGCAGCAGTATTAGATTCTCACAGGAGCATAACCCCTGTTATGAACTGCACATGTGAGGGATCTAGGTTGTGCACTTATTAACAGAATCTAATGCCCGATGGTCTGAGGTGGAACAGTTTCATCCTGAAACCATTCCCACCCCGAAGTCCATGGAAGAATTGTCTTCCATGAAACTGGTCCATGGGGCCAAAAAGGCTGGGGACTGCTGTATTATACTATGTCTACAAAGGGCAGAATACCAAGTAAAACTGACTGAAAGCACAGGGACGTTAATTGCCTCTCTTCACTAAATAACTGGAGGTTGGTGGTTCTGGGGCTGTTTCCATGTGTCAACATAAATAGCAGAGAAAGGCTCTCTAAAAGAAAGTGATATTTATTCAGGAATAGGGCATTGCAATGAGATACACATGCCATAGTAAACTGTGTTTATTCAGGAAGATACGAGAAGATAAAGGTTTTTAAGGACAAGTGAGGAGTATTACAATTGTTTTGAGATAATTATCCTTGGCTATAAGGATCAATAACAAGGGTGACACCACTCTGAGGTTG